CTCTTTCTCTCTTTCTCTCTTTCTCTCTTTCTCTCTTTCTCTCTTTCCTATTTCTTGGTCTTTTGTTTCCCTCATAACTCTGAAAGTGGTGTTCTGAGTTATTGCTTACTGAAATGACGGTTTGTGAGTACTCCTTAATCTTTTAAAACCATATTTCTTATTAGTATTCTGAAAGTCTTGTTCTTGCATGTGGTTTTGCCAACATTTCTGCTTTGACTGTGCTTTCCTGCACAGATGTATTCCACACTTCTGTCTCATACATATGTAGCTTTGGCAGGTTGGTTTGAAATAGTCTTATGTCAGCATGAGGAAATCAAAGCTTTTTAAATGCTCCCTCCTCACACCCCAATTTTCTGGCTCAGTCTATGTTCATTAAATTTTGCTGGAATTCTATTACTAAAAGGTAATATTAGATAATGATGATATTAATCCCCTTCTCTGCTGCTTTGTGGTGACCTGCTTGACAGAGTGTGAAAAAGGAGCTTTAATAAGTTAATGTTATTAATAAAAGTACTAATAGCCAAGTTGGTGTCTTGAAAAACAATTACAAAAACACATCTTTTCTTCTAGGAAGGCTTTTTTAATGTGGAGTCCACTAGCAGGTCATGTATGTCGAGCAAACAACAGATTAATTTTCCTTTGCAGAAAATTTCCTTTTAGCTTCGCTTTGAAAATGCACCTTAAGATTAAAGACATTGATAATGTGAGAGTTTTCTGGGTAGTGAGAAATCTGTGATATGTTTTCAAAAAGCACTATTCATTTTTGCCTATGAAAGTCCTTCGTGTCAGTATCTGCGCACAAAAATACCTCTCATGTAAACTGTTGAGTGGATTGTATGTAAGGCGTGCAGAAAGGATGTGTGAACAAAGCATAATTCATCAATTTTTCTGTTGTAACTGTCTGCGTTCTTCCTTCTGACACTTTACTCTGTTTCCTTCTTAAAGGAAAATGAGGTCATTCAAGGTAAGCTAGTCCTGGAGGCATAGAGGATCTTACATTTTACAAAAGTAAGAAAAGTTAAGAAAGTTCCAGAGTAGCTTGTTTCTATTTTTTTTCTGGCTAATACAAAAAATATTTTAAAATTCATTAAAAATCTTTTGTATACTTCTAACTTATACAGCTCTTTGGAAGCAGATTTTAGTAGCCCATTTTAACCTAATTCAGGATAGTTTCTAAGTCTATCAGATTTCGAAATCTAACTGGCTTCTCAAGCCAGTCCCTAAGTCAGTATGGGTGAGCAAGCTATACCCTGTGAAAGCAAAAAAATTAACTGAAAATTTAGTTGACTGATATATTTATACTTACATATAAGCAGACCAAGGGAGTAAGTAGTGACTGAAACAAGTTTTTGATAATTGTAACTTATTCACAGTTAGTCAAGTGCAGAATATGAAGATTATTAAAAAAAACCCCACAATAACCATTATAATAGAGAGTATCTGAATAATGAAATTGAAAATGAGGTTAAAAGTGCACATAAATACATATATGTAGTTTATAAAATAATGGCCTTGGACCTGATTATTATGCCGTCTAATGGCATCAACTCACTGCTTAATACATGTAAAAAAAAAGCAAATAAAATATTAGAAATAAATAGGAGAACAATAGAAAAGGAAAAGCTTCATTATACCTTTTGTCAAAATCCCATATTCACCCATGGTTTGAATAATGTTTTTGACTTTGGCCTTCAAGTTAAAATAAATACGTAAATAAAAAAGATCAGGAAGGGCATCAAAGTTGACCAAATTCATCGAGAAGAATGAATGAATCCAGTCTTAGGAAAAGCTTGAGAGTTTATAAAGGTGTTAAAGAACGATCTCTACAAAGTAAAGAAGATAGACGAGGAATGGCCATGCTCCCTGTCTTCAAGTACAAGAACTAGGAACAAAGAAAACTAGTCAGAAGCACAAGACAAGCAAGAGGAATTGTTTCTTTGTGAAAAGTATTAAATGATGGAATTTTTACTAGATGATCACATGATTGCAAGAAGTTTATATTAGATCAAGGACAGGGGAAGCATTTAGAAAAAATATCCATTGTGGAATGGGGCAAACCACACCAGGCTCAGGAAATACACCAGACTGAAAACTGTTGGAGTCAGGGAGAGTGTAAGCGGGGGAAGTATCGTATATTTCCCATGTCCTTATTGAGGCTCACTAATGTTTGCAGCTGTTCTTGAATAAAGGATATGAGGCCAAACGGACCTCTGGTCTGAGGTAGTTCTAGACACTCTTAAATTCATAATACAGTAACAGTGATAAAACATTCATATAATATATATGTTTAAAATATGAAATTTGAAACATTCATGTAAAAGATGG